ACTGGATGATCTAGATCTATAAAGTGCCTTAAGATGACGTGATGTGAATTGGAGCTATAGAAATAAAGTAAAGTTAATGGGAATCAACACTGTTGATCTGAAGATGTTAAAATCTAGTTAAAATTAATTTTATGGAATGTTTCTTCTCTACTATGCATATATTTCGTATTTAAAGACTGATATCTTTCATGATTTATTGTTTTAGGAGTTCGGTTGCCGATCTTTTCTCATTTGGTTGTATCTGATATGCTCGTCCAACAAAATTAACACCATGGCCGTCTGTTTTTTCCATTATTCTCCTTTTCAGGTAAATATTCTGACTGTTAGAAGTTAAATAGCTTTATTTGTGTTCACTAAGTTCAGAAAATAAGAAATGTTTGTATTGATCTGAGCAGATGGAGTAAATGTGCTTTAAAGTTCTATATTGTTAGTGTGACATGTTGAGCACTTATTCAGGATATGTGTTCTGATTAAATGGAAATGCTGTATATATTTGTTTCTGTATTGCAGCAGCTTTTCTTTATTCGTCAATGCAATTTAAAAACTGTTTTTAAAATAACATTTCGACGCTGGAAGTGACAGAGTTAACACTGTATTACTGTTTTTTTTCATTATTCCCCTTTTGAGGTGTGTAACACATAAAAGAAATAAAGGAAATCTGCATAGATCTGCTCATCCTGTCTAGTGGGAGCCACTTTATACACAGATTAGCTGACCGACCCACTGTGGCGCTCTTAGAACTGGTCAGATTGACGAACATTAAAGTTCTGGATCTGCGTCTCTTTAAATAATCTCCACCGATTCATCCGCTACATCTACTCTTTGTCTTTCCTGTTTCCTTTCTTTCCCACCCTTCCTTCATCATCATCTTCTACTTTTTCACTAACCCTAACCCCGCAGACAAAATGAATTCCAGCACATCTAAACCTACACTAACAAAACACAACATGCTCTCTCTCTCTCTCTCTCATTCAGTCCCTATGCCGCTCGCCCTGGCTAATGAATAATTGAACATCAGTACATTTGGTGGAAATGTCAGAGAGACTGAGAGAAACAAAGAGACACAGATGTAATTACCCAACCTATATAAGAGCAAACACACAGAGTGGGAGTGAATGGTGTTTCATGAGATAGGCTGTATTATTGTTAAATTATTGATGTCTCCATTACTCAGCCCACATAGCCGAGGGGGGGGGATCAATACAGTGACACCTGTACAATCAGCACACACACCCATCATAACACACTGACNCAGTAATGTTGCTGTTTTCTCATATAATATAAAGTTTGATCACTGTTAACTTTAAAAGGCATCAGAGGAGTAGATGTTTATAATCTTTGTACAAATGATGGATTAAGAGAAAAACATGAAAATGAGCAAAAGTGAGGAAATTGCTTCCAGCTGAACTTCATTCCAGGTAATCGGATCGATGGTAGAGCCGAGCTAAACTAAACAGTACATTTAAAAAAAGGGTTAGATTAATCACCAGAACAAGTTTAAAAACGGGACACTGCAACTTTTTATTTTTAACTTTTTCAGTTAAAAAGTAATTTCCAAAACATTTCTGATGTCTTAACAAGCGATCTTAGCTAAAAACCTTCCACAGATGGAGCATTTTTACTGAGTCCAGTTATGCTTTTTTTGATTTCTCCCCATTTAATGGGGACAATATTTGGTTCTTTAATAGTTTAAACTTAAATGTTTTCCTCCTGACTGTGTTTAAGTCTAGATCTAGAGACTATAATGCAGGTTTTAACCATTAGATCCCAGCAGGTTTTAGTGGGAAAATCAACTAAAACATGGCTGCAGGAAGCTGGTGTCTGGATGGACCAGTGAGTCACAGAGCCTCCATAACCCTGCAGCCAGACGAGTCACAGACAGATGCCGGCGCCCAAAGCGCAGATGATGTTTGTGGAAATTAAAGATGACACACGTCAGATTCACACATTTAAGGCTGGAGATGCGAGAGCAGCGGAGGGGGGGGGGTTGACGAAGCGCCGCCGCTGCAGCAGCATCTAAAGCAGGCTGTGACGCCTGCGTTGAACACGATTCTCCCTGCGGCGAAAAGCCACAGCTTCAGAGACGTGACGAAGCAGCTTAACAGCTCTGAGAATCTATACAGGCGGTAAATGTGATGCGTGAGTCAGTATCGGCCCTGAACCCCCAGCTGGGCCTCCGCCGTGCGCTCGATCTGCTCGTGGACCTGCCGCACCTCCTGCTGGGTCAGGGTCCGCTCCATGTGGCGGTAGACGATCCGGTAGCAGTGACTCCGCCGCCCGCTTCTGAAACACACAGAAGAACCACATCATGAGCGGCTTTAAAATTTCATTATAAACATTTTAATTCAATTAGAAAAAAAGGGTTTTGCAGATTTTCTTCAAATCGAACAAAAAAATAAATGAAATGTGAAAATAATCATAAAAGAACTTTAATTATAAAACTTGAAAAAGGAAAAGAAACGCAGATTGATGGAACTTTGCTGCTGCTCTGACCTAATAGAGATGTTTCTCCATCTTTCTCACAGCTGAAGTTGTCATTTCAAAAACAAAGAGATTAAACCCGGTGGGTCCGGTCCAGGGTCCAACTGACACCTGCTCATGTTTATCTATTTATAGAAAAAGGCCAAAACAGAGTCACATGGTGTTTCATCCACAC